CGGTACCGGGCCTCCTTACGTCGCTGCAGTTTTGATTTTGTTTGCCATCATTACTGCATGGGGCTTGAAATGAGCAGGCGGACAGGGCCGGTCAAGCTGGCACAACAGCCTAGGGTTGGAGGAATGGGTATGACAGATGTGGGCAAGCCGTTATACGAGTCATTCACAAGGCTGCAAGCTACGATAGACGCTGCCAGAGTTGGTCTGACTCCCCTCTGCGCCTGGAGGCCATGATCGAGGGGCAACCCCTCGCAGTCTCGTGGGATTCAGTAAGTAAGATGTGCGTCATCACAGCTTCAGCCCTTCTCGAGCGTTTTTCTGCTTCAGAACTGAGCTGATCACGCGAAGCTGGCATGTCGGATAAACAGCTTGGATGGCAAATTTTAAGGATTGCCTTGGACTGTGCGATGAGCCAACGTGAAATAGGAAGAGATTCGGACAGGTTGTTTGAGCATTGCAGATAATCAGATAACCTTTGACTTTATTTTGCATTTTCCTACCTTGTTGATTGGCTGTTTTGGACATATGCGCAAACCAAGAGCTTTCTGTGTTTGCGTTTCTCGTCTTTGCGTTATGTCGCTCAGACTACGGACCTCCCGGATGCTGTGAATTTGCAGCAGCGAGACAGCTGTGCTGTTACAGCATGGATTTTCCTTTTAATTCACAATGTTCAGAAACATGCAAGCGCGACCGGTCTTAAACGAATCAACGACGTTTGCACGAAGCGCAGGTTGAACATTGCCATCGAAATCAGTGGTCACTTAGGTTTACTTCGCATTCACGCGTTCCGACTCAGCGTTGACGCATTCTTATTGCTTTGTCAATTCCCCATGTAAGGCAGGCAAGATTCATTTTGGTCTTTTATGCGTCGTAGCAAATGTTGTTCGTTTCATGCGCATCACCTGTTGCATGTCGCCTTTTGCAACCCAGCGCGTCCCGCCCACAACGAGACCCAGCGTTCACTGCTCGTTTACAACAAATAACTAACGGCCAACGGGGTTTTGTTCAGTGTTCTAGTTGAAATTCCATTTCAGGTGCGGCTAAAGGTTCCGGCTGAAGGTTCCGTTTAATTAAAGCTTTGTTTGAGGTTCCGTGCAGGATTCCGTTTACGGTTCTATCTAATATTTTGTTTAGGGTACATTAAAAATTTTCGTAAAAGATTCGGTCTATTAAATATGATAAACAATTTCAAGCAAAATATATTGGAACTGATTTTATTTATAATAGAACATGGAATTAATATTGTAAATTGTTGATATAATTGATGAAGTACAGAGATCTAGTTTATGAAGAAAAGTCTTTCTTTTCTTCACACTTATATGTATCTTAAGTTTGACTGTATTTATTTTTCTAGCATGCGGAATTTGATATGAAAAAAAAGAAGTGGAATTACTTGAAAATGAAATACACATAAATGTATATTTTGTAATAAATCAAATTTTCCTATATATAGATGATTAAGCAATAAAATATTGCATTTTTACTCAGTTTTTCAAACCGGCAAGGATGTTGGGCCAATAGTACGCAACGCAGTCCTACCTCAAGCTTGAGAGTGCTGCATGAGGAAGAGTGCAGAAACCTTGCCCTGATATTTAACCACATGGCCCAACGAACTTTTCCTGGCATGACCCGTTGTAGGTTAATTAGCCAAGTTTCTTTCAGCATTGCCGACTAGACCAAAGGGAAGGCTGAAGATAGTACGTACTCACAGGTTCGCTAGTCTGTTCGTTTCGATGGAGTTTGTAGCACTTCTGAGAAGCCCTCGTCGGGCTGTTTACAAAGCTCTACACAGACATGGACCTATGAGTCACCATGCTGTGTGCTTGAGTCGCTTCCGAAGCTCGCATGAATTCGACTCTCGCCGGAATCCCAGAAATTTGTCTGGCATCTGGCTGTTTGCGCATCGGCGTCTCTTGCGTCTCGCATACCAGGACCGGGCCCTAATGCGAGTGATGTGTTTGATAGCTGCTACGCTCACAGGTTTCGTTTCCTGCACTATTGTTCTGGTCCGCTTTGGCCCACGGTTTGATACGAGCACCTTGTTCCCTACGCATGCGATTGCTGTCATGTTTACCGGTATTTAGCCGACATACTCCAGCATCACAGAAGTGGGCATGTGTTTGGACCTCAACACAACTTTCGACAATCTGTTCGTGCTGGTGCTGCCTTTCCCATCGCATACGACTCACTTATCCTACAATCCCAAGGGATCCAAATAGCCCAAAAGCCTTGAATAGTATGGTCTTTGGGCCCGAAAGCCTTAATATATGAGTCCTTAGATCCTTAGGGAGTGGCTGTATGTCTTTCTTGGCGCGACCAGCAGCATAGCTCGTCGAACTCCTTGTCTTGGCCTCTCGGGACGTTCTTTGTTGCTGTTCTAGGGGTACCTTATTTTGGGGTCCTTAGAGTAAGGATCCTGCTATTTTGGGTGCGATTTTAGGCATGGTGCCTGTGACGATTTTCAGAGCATGCCAGCCCTGACAAACCACGCAGAAACGCCTCTTGTGCACGGCCATTTTCTCCCGGAAGGGCATCATCGCGAAGCTTCGAAGAAAGTCAGGGCGCAAATCCCTCACCCATCATACACCCCATATCTATAAGCCCCAACTAAACCTTATTGACACGAAACCCTATAAACCTAAGCCATATCGTAAAATCGATTGTGGATCTGTGCCCCTACACTAACCCTAGACCGTAAACTACCCTGAGGACAGCTGTACCTTTCAGACCATTTACAAACTCCTCATTTTACTTATTCCTATACTTGTTCTGATACCTATACTTATACATATACTTGTACTTTTTTTTCTAGCTAGTACATACTTATACGTATACTTATACTTGAATTTCTGATTCAGCTCCCTGTATAGAGGGTCCAGAGCGTCTGGTGCGAGTGGCTCATCTTTCGAGTCTTTAGGGTTAAGGGTTCAGGGCTTCGCGTAGGGTTTAGGGTTTAGGCTTGAGGGTTTAAAAGTTTAGGGTTGCGGGCTTAAAAGTTTAGTGTTGAGGGAGGTTTCGAGGCTTCTGGAATGGATTCAATGCAGCAACCCTGGCTCCGAGCTTGCGAAAAGAGATTGGACAACGAGTCATAGATCCTTCAAACTTGCATTCCCAAAACCTCAAACAAAGCTCACCCCTAAACCCCTAACCCTAAACCCTAAGCTCACCCCTAAACCTCCAAATCCGAAGGATGAGTCGCATTCCAGCCACCCGCCCCCTCTGCCCCAATGGTCCAAGCTCGGGCCGCTAAGCGTATCGCTGTCACCGTTGCGCTCTCAGTGCTGAAAAAGCCCTCTGCGCACTGATACAACTGCAGATGTGCAACTCATAGTGTCTAGCTCGAGTGATTCCAGATGCTACCTATAATGTTTACTGAGACTTGAGATTGTTAAGGCCCGAACTGGCCAGGCTTAATTGTTTTCGCGCACGTTCGATTGCAATAGTGTTGCAGACGCACATAGTGGAGCCAACAGAGGGCACACCGTGTGCCACATCTTCATGTCTTATCAGGACTGGCACGATTAAGATCAGTTAAGTGCATCCACGAACGTGCCTTTCAGTCTGGAGATGTGTTGAAGCCCTGAGCCCCAAAACGTCTCTCTGCATGCGTTTGCATGCATGCAGGTATGTCGATCGGTGGTTCCGTCGGTCGGTAGTAATAGGTTGTTCGGGACAGCAAACAATCAGGTAGCTATGTGTCTGCATGAGTACATATACATAATCTAGTTTACCAGTCTGTAAAATGTTGGGTCTTAGTTGTTAGACCTACTTGAAGTTCATTAGCTGATGACTTGGAATGAATGTTGCATGCAGTGTACCTCGCGAGCCCGAGCACGTGTCAACCTCGTGGATGAATAGCTTCTTCATATATAGACGCTGATTAACAACCACCCTTGCCCTATGAACCATCCAGCCCTACAACCTTGACAAGCATGATTGAAGATTCCGCAGGCACCCGTTAAAGCCAGCCGAAATGACCTTAACAACGGTCCCTGCTTGCTTTCCCTTCCGCTGCTGCTGGGTTTCTGGTATCTTGAGACAGAGCTTTATTTAGGTTCCTCGTGTTCCTGCAGGAGTATAGGCTAAGCCTACTACAACTTGCCTCTTCTGGTAGCCTAGTATAAGTTCTGCCACAAGAACCCAATATTTGGCCGAGTTCTCAGTTTGGCCTTGGGTTAAGGGTTTAGAGTTTTCGATCTTTCAACTGTTCGATAGATCTGCAGCTCCAACTGAATACAATGTGCCGCCGCCACTGAGCAGCTGCAAGACCATGCAAGGAGGGAATCTTTAGCTTTACACGCAGATAGTGATAGAAACATAGCCCTGAACCCTACACCGCATGGACTTTAGGATGTGTAGGGCTCTAAATAACATAGCCCTAAACCCTAAACAGTATGGACTTTAGGATGTGTATGGGCTTAGAAGAGTGCTTGCGGTTCTGAATCGGCCGTATTTAGGGCGTCGGGCCTTCAGGTCGGTTAGGCCTATAAGCCCAATGGGTCCTAGGTACTGTTATGGGGAATACGTCCCCAAATCATAATAATAATTCCCGATATAGAAACCCTACATTCTACTATAAAGGTACTTTGGACCCTTAGGGAAAATCTCTAAACTCTAAACCGCCAGAAAGACAGAAAGAAAGATATAGAAACCCTACATTCTACTATACAGGTACTTTGGACCCTTTGGGAAGCTACAGCAGGCCGGGTCATGACCATGAGATCTCGCCTTCCGCAAGAGTCCCTTAAATCCTTCAGCCCGGACACCTAAAACCTGGAAGACCTTAAGATAGAGGATCTTAGGGTTTAGAAGATAGAGGGTCTTAAGAATTAGCAATATTGTTCCTGATACGGCCTAGAAGTATACTGTACTATACCCCGCAACCCGACTCCATTTGCTTCAGGCCCCTGTGTTTGCCCATACCCTCGAGCCCTGCATGTGAAACATAGATCCTTAAACCCTATTATCTGACCCCGTACTCAAGCTCCTAGTGCCTGCTCATGGGAGCGCGCGGGCCCCGCGGGAAGCCCCGTGCGAAGCCCCGCGCAAAGCCACGTGCCGCGTCGAAGTTCCGCCGTGGTCGGCGCAGGCGAGCCGTTCAGGGGTGTACTTAAAGGATCACGGGACTTAGTAACTAGGGTTATAATTAGGGTAACTCTTCTTATGCTTGTACTTATAACCCCAATTCAGGTACTTCTAGCCTTACTTACTAAGTCCCATGACCCTTTAAGTAGCTGAGGTTTAAGGCATTCGCCTTTGCGGTGTAGGCCATAAGACCGACGAAGATTGTGCTGTTCAGTGTTTGCTCACAAGAAGAAGCGCCGATTTTTGCCCCAACCTCTCTGCACGAGCCACCGTGTTGATGGAAGACCAATTTTGAATTCGAAGAATTGGTACTTAGCCATCATGATTAAACAATTCTTTAATGTTTATTTCAACTTAGTACTTAACTCGGCTCAATGACTGGCTAGGGTGAAACGAGATTATTGTCAACTCTGTACAAGCCTCTATGCAGCAGTACAAGCCCTGTAAACACACCCTGAACATCATCCTGGAGCCGCTTGAAATCCTGGTTAGGGAACGAGGATGAAGCACTTGGAGGTTCATGGCTGGTTATAAGGGTTCCTTTCAGGGTCCCTTTAAAGGGATCTATAGGGACTCTGTAAGGGTTTAGGGTCTACTTGGAGGTTCATGGGTAGTTCTAAGTGGGCTTATCAGCCCCCTTATTGAGGTTATAACCATCGCTAGCCTACTTATAATACCCTACTTACAACTACCCATGAACCTCCAAGTAGGGCCTAAACCCTACACCCTTATAGACTCCCTCTAGATCCCTTCAAAGGGATCCTTAAAGGAACCCTAATAACTACCCATGAACCTCCAAGTAGGGCTGAAATAGTTTAAGTTTGGGGTGGTTTGTGGGTTAGCAGGGCGATAGGTTGGCTTGGGGGTTGTGAGCTTGAGGGAAGGACACTTGAGCATTCAACTGTTCGGGTCCAGGACCGTTCTAGCAGTTCTTCATAGGTTTAGGGTTTAGGGGTTTAGGGGTTTCGGGTTCAGGGGTTTAGGGTTTATTGGTTTAGGGTTTAGGGGTTTAGGGGTTAGGGTTTAGGGTTTAGGGGTCAAGAATCAAGAAGGCTCTCCGAGTAAGTTCGAGATCCTCGCAGCCTCAGACGCTTGATCCGGGTTTCGAGCAGGCTTGATTGCCCACTCTCACTGATACACACACCCTTCGGCTGAGAGTTTTATTTAATGTACACAAAAATCCTGGTGAATGCCAAGTTTCTGATCACTCAGGGCACATCGAAAAGGCCCGGCAAAACAAGATCCTTAGCTCACTACCCACTAAACCGCAGACATGAGTCCAGACCGCGTGCGCCCAGCATGTAGAACCTAGCTACCGTACCCTCATTCCTCAACCGTAGTGGATGTTGAATCTTACGATGGGAGCTTCTGTTTTAGTGTAAAGCCGCAAGCTGGGGGCATCTGGGCCTCATGTTGCCCAGCAATAGACGTGGTGTTGTTGTTGTTGTTATTGTCACTGCAACTGCTACTGTTCATGTTGCGTTAGCTATACTATGCATGAGCTCTAAAACCTGAAAGCTATATACCACGTGCATCCACGTGCTAGCATCAGTCAATATTTCTACACCAAGACCTTGACTTCTATTCAAATGACGATCCTGTATTATCTCTACTACCGCACGAAGGATACCTTCGATTTTGAAAGGCAGTAGACAGGCTATTGCAGACAGGTGTTGCTTGATTTTCACGGGAAGTGTAGGAAGCAGAAAGGTAGCAATTGCAGCATGTGTATGGGAAGCATATCGTGCCAGGTTTGACCGACGGATTCAGCACATTTCCTAGACTAAATTCTCAGAGCGCCGTGCTGTGATGTCTTCTTTGATTTGTCGTTAACCTCGTCTCCCGCATTCGCGGTTCAGATTGTTGGCGGTGTTGCTGTTGCTGCTTCTGTTGTGTTGGTTGTTGTATGAAGGCTCGTGGTGTTCAGCTTTTCTGGTTGCTACCTGCCGCTTCTCTGCAGCTTTCTGTTTGCTGCCTGCGCAAACCCAAGACAAATTAGGAGTACAAGCTTGTGCACGTGTGGAGACAAGACGGACTGCAGTTTCGTTCAGCAGCTTTCGTGCTGACAGGAACTCGACAAACACCGGAAAAACCGGCGACCACGACCTTGCAATTTCCCAATAAACAGGTTAGATCAGGTTAGCGTACCCGGTACATGCACCGTGTGCCCTGCAGAAACTCGCAGCCGGTGCTTCACACTGAGGGTGTAGTGCAGGCAGCAGAGTGCTGTTTTGGCATAGAGCTTGAGGAGTTTAGGAATCCGAATGTTGTTCGGGTGGGGCATGTAGAGATCGTGTAGCGTCGGGGTTTTGCGCAAGTCCCAGCTCAAACCGAACAAACACGGACACATTCCCGATCACCACAACAGGGCGTTTCAGCGACAAGCTGGGAAAAAGCTCCCGAAATCTTGCATGCAGGCCGGAATCCGTTTGAGAAAGGGCTGAAGATTTCAGGATCTTGCGGTGACCCCGCTCATGTAAGTCACCGTTCACCTGTAGCGCCGCTTCGCATGACTGTCAGCAAGACTACACCGCTTAAGATGACATTTCCAAAGCGCTCACATAATGCTGCGTTGGATGTATAGTCCTGATTGTATATTCCGTGCAAACTTTGAATGCCCATCAACCCTTATCCTTGCGTGCGACAGTCGAGTATGTCTGCGCTAAATTGAAGCTCAATAGTTACCAGCCGTGCGACTTTCCAGGAAAGACTGGTTTGAAAGGAGTTTGCATGCCGGCCACAGGGTTTTGAAATGAGGGTCATGTTGAATTTAAAGTCATGTACCACCGTCTGAATGCATGCTGCACTCACTTTGATGGAACGTGCTTTAAAAACATATCGTCTGTAAACACCGTGTGTGTTGCTTCCCTGCGAGCTTGCTATCAACTTCCCCGGGCCACTTCGCATTTCCACTTGTGTCGGTACTGGTTCCCGTGCGACAGCATGTTCCGCGTGTTCGTCAGGATCCGCCCGATGCGATCTTTCCTAGTGAGTGGAGAGCAGCCAGGCCGGGGCATGCACATGGCATCACATGACTGTAATTTCCGGAACTGCCGATATGGCGTGCGAACCTTCAATTGTGATACACACACCCTGGCCCTTTGCGCTACGCATGCCATACGCCACCTGCACACCCCCTTAACCTCTATACCCCTAACCACCTGTACCGAAATTTACCCTGCTATACCTCAACACCCCGAACCCCTGCAACATACTCCCCCCCCCACTCCCCACCTGCAACCCAGTCGCACATAGGCTCCTCGATCCCTGGCTACACTGCTATACACTATACACCCATCACACACACACACACACAGCCCTCTTAGGGACCTGACTGCAACCCTAACCGCATACCGTTGTAATCCCTTTTACCCTTTGACCCCTGAGCCTTGTACACCTTGTACACCACACCTTCTACGAACCTACATGCCGGTGCCCTTATTCAACTGGCACTCGGCAAAAGCAGTTTCAACTTGCGCCGATGTTTAGCGGATGCTCGATATGGCAATTTGTCACAAGAAAGACCCGTGAGTTCATGTCCATGTCGCGGTCGTGTCTAGAGCAGGCACCGATGGCAGCAATATCCAAGTTGTGACAGCATCTGACATACAAACTGGATGTGCCCAATTGCGTGTGTTCACAGTGTGGGTCGAGTTCTCATTTTGCGTGTACACCCATGTTGTCGTTCAACCAAGCCACGATATGTCGCGTTGATGCGGCATCTTGCTGTACTACAGTTGGTCAGGTGGCGGAAATCCGGGTGGTATTTATTATGTGCGTTTCATGTTAAGCTTCAAACATGGCCATTTGACAAGTACAGTATGGCAGCTTTATGTTCGCACAGCCCATTTTTCACAGGCCCAGACATCCAGGACGTTGATGCTGAGCCCCACGATCCCGAGGCTGCACAAGACGGATCTTACTGCCAAGCCTTGCATGCTAAGACTAAGAGGCTGTATGTGTTTTGGTTTGTGCTTTCGGTTGAACATTCGACTGTTTGGGGCCTTGTGACGCAGGAATGTGTCAGCGCGGCATTCCACGCAAAACGACATCATGGTGTTTTGTAGCCGGACTCTTCGTTTTCTTTGCGCAGATGACTCGGCCTCAAACAAATTCACTAGGAAGCTCAGAAGTACGATATTCCCCTTTTTGTAGTCCTAGGTTCTTTATAAAGTTGCCCAGTACCAAAAAGGAGCCCTTTTTGTTCCTAGGTTACTGGGCATCCTAGTTCACCATTCCATGGAATCAGACTGACGTCTTGTAGTACTTAGAGGAGCGACCCAAAGGCTGAAGCCCCGGCTCGCGCTTCAGGAGTGCGAGGTTTGCAATGGCGGTAGTAGAATCTAGGGACCGGAAATATTAGTTCCTAATACTACTTCGGGGTTTCTTTATTATAAGTATAGTAGAATGGGCCCAAAAACCCCTACTCTAATTATGAATATTGGACTACGCTCCTCATCCAAAGCCCCTCCCACTGCTGAGCCAGGCAGAACGAATTTCCGAGTCTCAGCTTACTGCAGAGACTTGCCTGCTATTCAAGGTTTAGGGTTTAGGGTTTAGGAGGCTTTGTGGGCTAAACGCTCAGGCGCACGATTCTGTCGGGAGGGAGTGGCACAGGTTTCGCGTTGTCGGGTGTAGGTGAAGCAGAACGGGCTATCAACCTCCGAAAGCCTAGGACCCAAACCCCGGATTACACCCTATATAGCCCCGGCCTGCATACACGAAAAGTCTAAACAAGGCAACCGACGGAAGTTTAGAAGGTTGTCGCCTCAAGTGGGTGTGATCTTATGCCTTAAAGCCCTATACTCGAAGCCCTAGACAGGGTTCAAGGTATACCCTGCCCCTAAACCGGGCAGACAAAGCGGTCCACTCATGGCGGTGAAGTTATCGGATGTCTGTTGGATGTTCTTCCAGGCTCTTGTTGAGCCATACTGTTTAGTAAGACTCTTTTTCATGGTGAGTTTCGATTATCTTGAAAGTCCTATCGGCCGATCATGGGTCTTGAGTTCAGGATTTAGGGTTTAGGATCTAGGAGTTAGGGTTTAGGATCTAGGATTTAGGGTTAGGGTTTAGCCGTACTGGGTGTGTTCGCTCCTAGGGTTTTCTATGTCGTTGGTCTAGCAGTCTACCAGGCTTAGAGCTTGAGATTTTCAACGAGGGTTGGGCGCTTCAGTGCCTTTGGGTTTTAGGGTCTAGGGCTCCAGGGTTTACAGTAAGCCCCATAAAGTTGGAAACAGGTTCAAGGCCAAATAGTGCTGGGATTCCCTATGCATTACTCTTAAGGATAGAGGCTATGAGGTTTCCAACTTTTGGGCTTCTACTGTAGGAGGTTCTTTCGCGGGGTGAGAGTTTTGTGGGTTTTAGGTTTCCGGGTTGTAGTGCTTGAGGTTTCGACCGAGACCCAGAGAGCCCAATACCGCTTAATTAAGGAATATAGCTTAAATTGAAGCCCCATATAATTTAAGCCATGTTCCTTAGTTAAAGGGTTTTCCGGCTCTCTGGGGACATGGTTTAGCAGTGCCAGGTTTTAGGATGTGGAGACTCCAGGTGGGATTCTGTGATTCATATAAGGAGCCCTAACAAAGGCCCAAGGTTTCTTAATCAGGTTCCTACATCAGGTTTAGGGTCTAGGGTTTAGGAGTTTAGGTTTTAGTATGAGGGTTTATTTAGGGTTCAGGGTTTGACTTTTGAGTCGTAGCTGAAGTGATACTGGCAAGTGCATGGAACTGAATACCGAAAAAAGCCGCCTGAAACACCAAACCCTCGAACCTTGAAGCCAGGGTTTAGGGTTTAGGGTGTAGGGTCGGTTAGGGTTAAGGGAACCCTTAAAAGAGTAGGTAAAATCATGGCCCAACACCTACGAGAGGCTGTTATTCCACATAGGGGGATCCTCGGGAAATAGACCGTCCCAAAAGAAGGTCCATTTCAAGAGAGCCGGCAGTATGGTTAAGAAGGGAAAGCCTAAGCCTACCCAATAATTAGGTACTCGGTTTTTGGATAGTAGTTATGTAGGTTAGGAGCAAGAGTATATGTTTATTGGTACTTGGACCCTTGGGGCTTTCCTAAGCCTTCGACGCCTCAACAATTAAATCAGGAGCAGCGAGCGGCTGCAGCCCGAGCTCTGGCAGGCCCCTTGGCTGGCAGCTGGAGAATGAAGAGAGGTAGCGAACATGTGTGTGTGTGTGTGTATGTATGTATGTATGTTTGTATATATGTATATGTATGTGCATATATATATATATATGTGTGTGTATATTATGTGCATGTGGATATACACATACACATAATGCGATACCTCCTATGTGTACATTTGAACTTTGCGTGATGTGATTCTGGCAATTTCGTTCACCTTTTTACAAGTTGCCGTTTACAAGTATCCTCTGCATGAGCATGTTTGCATTTGTTACAACCCTGGTAGTATGTGCTTGAGGGACCAAGGCACTTGGTATTTGTTCATGGACAAAAAACTTGGGACCCCAATCCCCTTTCCTCACTTAGGCTTGCGCAGGCCGTATCCACTGTCAGACACAAAGAGCTTTCGAGAAAATATCACCGAAGTCCTAATCTCTAACCCTAAGCCAGTAAACCCTAAGCTCTGAGTATTATAAGTGTTGATGTTCGCTACATGGGGCCCTTGCGAGGCAAACGGTTCCATTCCAACAGTCAGTAGAACCCTCAGTCTAGGGTTGGGGTTTTACTTAAAGGATCATTTGACTTAGTAACTAGGGTTATAATTAGGGTAACTCTACTTCTATCTACTTGTAACCCTAATTAAGGTACTTATAACCACCTTACTAAGTCCCATGATCCTCCAAGTCGGGTCCGTCCGTTGCTTTTTGTGCCTCGCGTTTTTTCTCCAATTGAAGATGTAGTTTGGGGGTCTTGACGGCGCAGCTGAAGAGCTCAATCCACAGACACACGGGTTTAGAGGGAACTCCAGAAAGTTGGAATATGGTTTCAGGGTAGGATACCCTATAATTAACCATAAAGGGTTTAGGATAATCATATTCCAACTTTCTGGCTTTTACTTTAGGGGTTTATGGTTTAGGGTACACCCTCCTTTTCCTTTATCCCTAACCTCTACCCTGAGCACTACTCATTCAGGAAGCCCGAAACGTTTCTCGGCTGAAACGCCATCGTCAGATCATGCCCTGCATCTTCAACATGTACGTAGGGGCCTAAATGATTACCAATACTATTTTCGGTGGTCCTAACTACATTTCTGTCATTTTCGTACCAAAGAACCCTATCCTAATTATTATCGTCCCTACCCTAAAGGTCCACAGGACCCAATAATTAGGTACTTGGGTCTAGGATAGTAGTTATGTAGGTTACTAAGTTTGGAGAGTATAGGATAATTAGGCACTTCGGCTGATGATATAAATCCTGCATTACCTTAAGGACGCTAGACTATGGAAATTATGGTATAACCCTTATTATGCGTAATGCAGGATTTATATCATCAACCGTATGACCCTAAAATCCTAAGCCTCCAAGTCCGAAGCACAAAACCCTGTACTGTAGGAGCCTCAAGAACTGCCTAGACTCTTCTTGAAGGTTCCGTATGATGAATATAGTACCCCAACATCAACCGTTGGATCCTTACCCTAAACCCTAAACCCTAAAACCCTAAACCCTAAACCGTGCGGGCCTAGCCGAGGTGAGAACCTTTTCTTGACGGGCGCAGCTGGCACCGGGACCGGGCTTATAGTTTGTGCTTCGGGGTTAGGGCCCCAAGAAGCACACAAGCAAAAATGAGGATAGGGATATCTCATATAAATGCCCCTTATCATGAAGCCCAATAGGTAAGGGATATCCCTATAAAATGCTTCTGCTTATGTGCGTTTGGGGGTCCCTATTGGGGTTAGGCACGTGTGGCCAGCGACTTTTCCGTGTTTGCCAGCTGCAGCACGAGGTCAGGGTCTGCTGGCAGGTTCATGTGGCGTCATAAGCAATGTAGAATGTAGCATATGGGAGTTTCCGAAAGGAAAGGAGCCCAACATAGTACCCCAAATAGTAGGATCCTTACTATAAGGACCCCAATATCAGGTACCCCTTATATTCGGAAACTCCCATATCGCGGCATTCATGTATGTTTTCCCGCTATCTGCCGGTGAACCTACGAGTAGGAGCTCGGTTTGGAGTGGTCACCAGAGGCACGGAGTGAGCATCAATTGTATGTGTGTATGTATGTGTATAATATATATATATATATATATACCCATATTCATTTATTTATGTATGGGTTTACACTTATCACATATATGCATGAGATTTGTATGTACATGTGTATGTCTATATATATATACACACACATACATACATACGTACGTACACACCGTGTATGTTCACATTGCTGCGCATTCATGTTCATTAAGTATTTTTGTTTGTGTTTATAAGTTGCCTGCTTATTCTTTTACTTGGCTGCTCAAACTCCAGGATGCACAAGGCCTTACGGAACACTGAAAAGCAATTCCAAAACCCTAAACTCCGCAAGCCGAGAATCATTAAAAAAAACCCTATAGATCCCTTGTAGAAACTAATAAAACCATACAGATCCCTTTAGGGGAATCCTAGGGATCAACATAGCCCAAAAGCCTTATGCAGTAAGGTGTATGGGCCCAAAAGCCTTTATATATGAGTCCTTAGATCCTTAGGGGAAGCTTGTCATCTGCGAGGAAGAGCTTTCTCCTGCGCTTTTTGGTGCAGGAGTTTTCACAGCGCCATCCGGGGCAGGTCCTGGACTTCCACGGGTTTACTTAAAGGATCATGGGACAGGATCCTGGGACTTAGTAACTAGGGTGATAATTAGGGTAACTCTACTTGTTTCTACTTCTAACTCCAATTAATAAGGTACTTATAGCCTTACTTACTAAGTCCCATGATCCTCCATGTGGGGTTCCTTTAAGAGGAACTAAGTGTTCCTTTGAAGGGAATTATGTGGCTTTATAGGGTTTCTTTCAGGGGTCTATAGGGTTTAGGATTCTCGGTTTGGGGTTTTAGGGTTTCGGATGTGCGGTTTTGAGCAAGGTTAACTGGGGGGCACCTTAGCTGGTGGTTCGTGCAATTCGGATCTGATTTCTTCCATGGTTTTGGATTTCCTGGTACAGTAGTACGCTCTCCTGCCAAAGCCCTTCTCCAATTTTCTAAGAGCACTACAACCCCTGCATGCATTTCACTTGCAAGTGTTGTGCTGACGGCGTGGGGCCAGGTGGCGGTGACTGCCTCCACCGGCATTGCCGCTGCGCATCTTGGCCGGGTTTAGAGTTTAGACTCCCACGACATACCTCGCCACCCTACCCTAAACCCTAAACTGTGCTTGTCTTTTCGTGCGCTGTTGTAGGATATGCCATCGGCCTTTACGGACGGTTCTTCTTGCATCTGCAGCTGCCGAAATAATTACCCGGCTGCTACACTACTAATTAAATATGTGTGTATTATTTGTGTATATAATATATGTATACATATGTATGTCTGTATTTGTGCACATGCATATACCTAGATGTTTGTATGTGCACGCATATCTTTTGTGTATATATATATATATATATATATATGGTTTTCTTATTTCGGTTTGTATGTGTACATATATGCATGCATACATACATACATGCATGTATGCATACATACATACAAACATATATATATATATATATATATATATACATATAGAGAGAGAGAGAGAGAGAGAGAGACATATACATAAGTATATACAGACAGATAAACACACACACAGACACACAGCTATGCATATATATATATATATATAGATATGTGTGTATGGAAGCAGTTTTCGAAGTCAGCGTAACACGGGAACTAGAGGTGCTTGGATTGTAGTCGCTGCTTGGCCTCTTGAGAATTGAATCTTCGTCAGTCAAGGTTTAGGGTTTAGGGGTTAGGGGTTAAGGTTTTGGGGTTTATGGCTACAGGTTTCAAGACTCTGGGCCCCGAAACCCTCTAGCCATGCACAACGTCACCCGAGGTTTGTTTTGGGGTTGTAGCCATATTGTCTGGAGTCTTCAGGCTTTGGCGCTTATAGGTGTGTGGGTTTCAAGAGGGCTCAACGATTTGGCCAATACCGCCCTTACTCCCTAAGTGAGGCACCTTGGTGGTCAAACTATCCATAGCTTCGCTGGCGTCGGTGTGGGGACAGCGCCGCTGGCGAAAACCCTGCAGCAGGCAACGGTGTTGAAAAGGGGATAAGACGATAAGGTTTAGGGCAACGTGCATAAATCTGTGAGACAATTGGAATGCATGGTTTTTGTGGTTCATATACTTGGAGGATCATGGGACTTAGTAAGTAAGGTTATAAGTTTCTTAACTGTGGCTATAAGTAGTTCTAAGTAGAGTTACCCTAATTATAACCCTAGTTACTTAGCCCCATGATCCTTTAAGTACAGTCGCTACACCGGAGTGACCTTTCTGAACTTCTTGTCATTATGGTGGTGGACTCACTTCTATCTGGGAGGCATGTGGGCCAACTGACAAAAGTAAGTTTGCATCTGATTTAGGAGCCTTAATAATTAGATTAGGGTTTTGCCGGTTCCTTGCTATAGTGATAACTAATTAGTATACTATACCCCCAAACCCGATTCCAACTATGTATGTATTAAGCCCCTACATTACATGAGGGGACTCGGGAGTTAAGGCATCGAGAGCTGCCTGCCATAGAGGTCATCCTGATTTTTGCTGTAAGACGTCGTCGTGCCCGTCTTGTGCTGATATTAGATTCGGGCTTTTAGGGTGTGGGGAGGAGGGGTATGGTCTAGGCGAGGAATTAGGGGTAAGTTCGTCCCTGATGCAGGTTCAGAAGAGTTCTGCAGCAGTTCAGCGCTGGAAGAGCACCAAGGTGCTGGTTATAGAGCTTCGGCCGCAATCAAAATGAGTTTCCGAAGCATTCAGCACAGATCTAAGTTTTTCGATGCTAAATTCCTACCCCAGGTCTTCGGTTTCTTTTGGCGGCATCCAGATGTTTTGCGATGCAAGGCATCTCACTTTCATGTAGTGAGATGTGCTGTAATAAAGTCGAGTCATGCAGCTATGCCTTGTCAGATTCTGTTGTCAAGCCTTGACTTGGCAACTCTAAGCCCCAAACCTGGCATCCATCCACCGTGTTCGCGTGTCCCGGGCTGACCTCGAGTCAGGCGCATTGGACCCCAAACCCGAAGCTAGGATGTTGTAGGGTGTGCATTGGCATAATGTAGGGGCCTAAATAATTACGAATACTATTTGGGGGTGGTGGTGCTGGGGGGGGGGGGGGTCCTTAATTATTATAAGTATAGTATCATGGGCCCCAAAGCCTTGTTCGATTCATTAAGGCCCCTATCTCACATCCATACTGATCAGCAACCTGCCGTCCCCATAGTATAGAAGCCCAGCAAATCCTGCTCTTTGTCATAAGTATGAGGCCTCCACATTTCCCGATACATCTCTTCTACTCAGACCCTGTTCGGCTCTTAGGGCAGGTGGCGACCACGCCATGAAACCCAACCTTGGATTCGACAGGTCTTAACCTAAACTATACCCTCGACCCTAGACTTAAAATCCCAGGGTTCAGGGGTTTAGGTTTTAGGGTTGGTGGTTTCGGGGTTTAGGGGGCTTAAACGCCATCATCTTAACTACCGAAAATTTGAAACCCTTGGTACTAAGCCAAGACACCGGACATCTTGGAGCAACAGGACGAAATCTCCATGATCGACGGCGAGCTGCTGGAGTGCTCTGATACAGATACTGTCCGGTCATAGGGCTTTAGGGTCATCAGGATGCAAGGTTGAGAGCTTATACAGGATTTTAAGACATGCTGTCCCGAGCCTCAAGTTCCTAAAACACTCGAAGTAAATGCGGCTGGGACGCAAGACAAGGCCCAGGTGAGTTGCATAGGCATCCCACGAACGACCTTCACTAGTCATTCAGGACCCCTTATTCGTCCAGCAAGAGCGAGCAGAGGTTGCTCTCCGTTGAACTATCATATGTGTGTTTATGTGACGGAGTACACCGCTTTGTTCCGTGCACGCGTAGCTACCGACATATATGGTAACCAGTAACCAACCAAGAGGGTCCATAAACATTCCTATCATGGAAGTAGGGTCCCAAAACCTTAGCAGGGCTGGTTTCTTGGGACCTAATTCCATAATGGTAGTCCCTAAACCCTAAACCCTAAACCCTAAACAGTGCATATGGACCCTCTGGGCAAGAACCCGCTAAACGCAACACAGTCCTCGCGCCTAGCAGCAAACCAGCCCTGATCCTCGGTCCCCCTTGCCGAAGTCCTGTCGTCGTAGAGGTAATGTAGGAACCTGATTAAGAAACCTTGCACCTTTATTAGGGTTCCTTATATGAATCCTACTATTTGGGGGGTATAGGTGCAGGATTTCTTAATCAGGTTGCTACATTATGACAGAGGCCGCGTGGTGAATTCAGATTCTCAACCGGTTTTAGGCTCTCGGGACTAGGGATTGGGGCTTAGGATTTGAGCCAGTGAAACTAAGCTACAGATCTGAATCAATATTTACCATGGTGCTAGCTCGTGCATGGTTGTATCTTAACCCCAGGACCCTGGCACCCGAATTGTGTAATATAGGGGCCTAAATAATTACGTAAAATATTAATTATGGGGGTTCTTTAATGTGATTATAGTATAATAGGCCCAAACCCCCTATTCCAATTATTAAGGCCCCTATATTACAGTATCTGTTCGCAGAAGTCGTTTGGTTGAAACGGGGTTTCTTGCACACATGAAGCGAACCCAGAGACTCCAATATCCCTTGATTCAGGAATATTCCTTAAATCATATTAGGGATCCTATTGTAATTTAAGGTATGTTCCTGAAGTAAGGGATATCGGAGTCTCTGGGAGCTTGAGGCTCCTTTGCGGCGTCGCCCGTGCTGTGCGCAAGCAGTCCGCTCCCTTTGGCGGTCTGCAGGCAACGGCTTGGATCTTGTACCCTAGCTTGAAAAACACCGAAAACCCAGCGCCGGATGTGAACCGGATTAAAAACCTTAAAGCATCGTCCCTCAGAGCTTTTGCAAGTTGACGGCAAGGAAAACCGCGTTGGGGCAGGCCCGAAAAGTCAGAAACCCGAAGGTAGGGTTTAGGGCTTCAGGGTTTAGGGGTCTAGGGTGTAAAGGGAACTCCAGAAAGTTGGAATATGGTTTCAGGGTAGGATACCTTATAATTTACCATAAAGGGTTTAGGACAATCATATTCCAACTTTCTGGCTTTTACCTTAGGGGTTTAGAGTTTAGGCATCCTTGGGGCCTGAGGCTTCGGATTTTAGGGCACAGCAGGTCCTCGCAAGTTTCCTCCTCCTCCCTCTCGAGCCTTTGGGCCCTTAGTCCCCTAGGGCGAGGATCATGTGGGTAGCCCTCGAATTACTGTAGGGTCCTTTGGATGCCAAAAATAGCACGGCACCTTTACAAAAAGCGCCCTGCGAGGGACCCTAAACCCTAAACCGTATACCCATGTAGGCCCGCAAGCTGGAGGTGCTTTTCTGCGGCGATTTCTTGCAGCTGCCGCCAGTGCAGGCTTCCAACATGGGGCGGTTTAGGGTTTAGGGTTTAGGGGAATTGGAGTAGGGTTTTGGGACCCATTATAATCAGGAGCCCTTTAGGCCCCTATAGCAGCTCGGATCCGCAGTCTTCAGACAGTGTTACTGTTAGGGTCTCGGGGGCTATGGGTACAGGGTCTTGCAGTTTTGCATTCAAGGATCGGGTGTTTGAGTTGCGATCTGGGTTTTGTGCGGAAGGTGTATGAACTGTGATTTCTATTTCGGTTCTCTCTTGCGGATTAGCGAATTGAGAGTGTTTGTTGCCGATCAGCAAGCCTGCTCCGCCTTTGTGGTATACTTTGCACTCTAAACCCTAAAGCCCTAAACCCTAAGCCCTAAACCTAACCCTAAGCTCTAAACCCCTAAACCCTGGACTCCTAAACCCGAAACCGCGAAGCCCCCCAACTGCCAAGCCCCTAAACCCTAAACCGTTATGGGATCGTCTACTTGGAGGGGCAGGGGACTTAGTAACTAGGGTTGTAATTAGGGTAACTCTACTTTTGACTACTTTTAACCCCAATTAAGGTACTTATAACCTTACTTACTAAGTCCCATGATCCTTTAAGTAGGTAGCCTAATGGGTGCTCCGAAAGTGCATGACTCCGTCTTCTCAGGCATGTTTGGTCTGCAAAACGCTCTTGTCTTTAGTTGTGTGGGCCCCGCGAAGGCATAGCTCGAGGAGTACTATAGGGGCCTTAATTATTACCTGTACTGTTTAGGGGGGGGGTCCTTATTTTGACTGCACTATAATGGGCACGCAGAACCTTTTTCTGACTATTGAGGCCCCTACACTAGATGTTCGGAAGAAGGTGCTTGATCATGTCTTGGTTTCTCCAATATAGGGCTCGGAATCAATTGTATCGTTATCCCCAAAACGTCCCTCCATAGGACTATAAAGATAGACCCCCAAACTCTATTCCAAGTATGTTGGTAGGAGAGGGGCAAGCTGGCCCGCAAATTCTGCTTCGCCTCGGCTGCCTGGAAGAAGGCGACGGCCCGTTCCCGAGACCCTATCACAGGGACCCTCAGAGGGGGACGGGGGGAGGGGACTGTACTTCCTTACGTAGGCCTTATGAAGTCCTTGCCTTATGATGTCCTTGTTGTAGGCATTAAGACCCTCTACCCCCTTCCCCCCTACCCCCCTAAGGGTCCTTGTGAATGTAGACCTAAATTCTGAAGTCTGAAAGTCAGACTTCCCACATCCAAAATCGCATGCAGCAGTGTAGTTAGCTGGATGCAGCTGAGCTGTCATCATTCAGCTATCAAGGAAACCATCCTGTCAAACATCCATGACGAAACCACATTCTCGGATTTGAGAGTTTGCCTTCTGAAAGTTCGAGTGCACTACATCAAATTATCCAAGAAAGCAACCTTGCCTGCAACCGTAACGAAACCTGGCTCAGATCAGGACGCAGTCTGCAGGGCCCCGAACCCTTACACAACCCAAGCCCAAACTACAGACCCCTGAACTGTAAACCCTAAACCCTAAACACGTGAACCTAAACCCCACCCCCCACCCTAAACCCTAAACCCTACGCCCTGAACCCCACAACCCTAAACCCTCTCCCCCCTTCCCCGCCCACGCGACCCGAGTGCTGACTAATTTTAGCTCGGGGAGTCTCGAATCCGAACTCCTGGAGTCCTGGAGACTTGCGATCGGTACTTGGAGTGGCAGGGGACTTAGTAAGGGATCTTAAAGGGCTCCTTAAAGGGATCTATAGGGTTCCTGTTAAAGGGATCTATGGGGTTTAAGTTTAGGGTTTAGGGTCTACTTGGAAGGGCAGGGGACTTAGTAAGTCGTTTGTAAAGTAGGGTTGTAATTGGGGTAAATCCATTTAGGGTACTTATAACTCTACATATAACCTACTTACTAAGTCTCCTGCCCCTCCAAGTAAGTTTTTCCTTCGGATTATATGAGGGGCCTTTACAAATAGAACAGAGTCTTGGGGTATATGAGACTGTAGCTATAAGAAGGAACCCCCAAAATAGTATAGGCAATGAATATTTCGGCCCCCATATTATAAGAGGGTGCTTACCACATTATGTCGTTGATACTGATCGGCGTGTTATAAGGGGATGTCCTACTTGGTGTCTTTTTGCACGACTTTTCAGGAGAGCTTCTGGTAATTATTAGGTGTGTGAGTTATCAGTTTTCGTGGGGTTTAGGGGTTTACTTGGAGGATCATGGGACTTGGTAAGTAAGGTTATAAGTACCTTAATTGGAGTTATAAGTCGTTATTACAAGTAGACTTACCCAAATTATAACCCTAGTTACTAAGTCCCATGATCCTTTAAAGTAGGGGGTCATGAACGCGAAGGTTCACAGATGAAGGGGCGCGAAGACTTTGGTGGCTACCTCATTTGGGGCCACCCGACACGCGATTTACACTTTTTTTTAGAGATAATACTATGTCCTATAGACTGAAAGTGCACGTTTAGTGGCCGAAAAATAACTCAGCAACTAAGTTTCTGAACGACTTCAAAGCTCAAGGGTTTGGGTGGTTAAGGACAGGGGTCCAAGATTCTCTACTTAAAGGATCATGGGACTTAGTAAGGCTCCTTAAGGGCTCTTTAAAGGGATCTATAGGCTTCCTTGAAGGGATCTACAGGGTTTAGGGTTCAGGGTCTACTTGGAGGATCATGGGACCTAGTAAGTAAGGTTATAAGTACCTTAATTGGGGTTATAAGTAGTTATAAGTACATAGAGTTACCCAAATTATAACCCTAGTTACTACGTCCCATGATCCTTTAAGTACCTAATGCCCGAAGCCCTAGAACCTAGATACCGCGAGCCCCAAACCCAAGAAGCAGTGTTCTCAACTTTACTATGCTCACAGCCCCTAAACCCTAAACCCTGAACCCTACCAAGAAACTCTAATAACACTCCTACCACCCTACAACAACTCCGAAGGCGGGCTTGGATGAAGGCACGGTTCTTCTCTGCCAAACGGTGCGGCAAGCATCTGATCGCGAGTTCGGGAAGGCACCATTTGGTTTAAGGTTTAGGTTTTATGACTGTCTTGCAGAGTGTATATAGCTTCTGGGCTTAGGCTGTAGGGTTTATGGCTCTACGGTTCAGGACTCGATGGTTTAGGCTGTAGGCTTTAGAGTTTAGGCCTCTGGCCCCAGGCTGTGGTTTTTAAGCTCATAGGGATCCTTAGGGGTGTAAGGGGGAGGGGTGTAGGGGACTATATTTCCTTAAATAGGCCTTATTAGTCCTTATTATGGGCCTTAAGGCCCCTACCCCCCCTCCCCCTACACCCCTAAGGATCCCTATGATAAGCTGTAGGGGTCAAGGCTTTATGGTTTGGAGCTTCAGAGTTTTAGGCCAAACCCCTTCATAGAACCCTTATTATCTATAGATCCCTTGAAAGGAAGCCTTATAGATCCCTTTAAAGGAACCCCTATAGATCCCTTGAAAGTGTTCGGTTTCTGTGCTTAGGGTTTACCACTTGAGGGTTTCGAACGTATCATACAAAGGACTTTAAAACTTCGATGTGTTTGGCGTGTTGTTTTGCAAGGGGCATAATGGGGCTTACCTATAGTCTCCATTATAGTTCCTTTTTCTGTCTAACCAAAAACTTAACCGCAAAACTGGTTAACCAAAACAGGAACTACAATGGAGACTATAGGTAGTATTGCTGATTTAAACGTCAGGATCGGGTCATGGAGGTATCGCGGTATATTATACTGAAACTCACTTGCAGCCGCTGGAAGAGGGTACGTGTCAGAACTATCCCGACTGCATTACGACTGTCAACGTGAGGGTGGCAGGACCTTGATGAGGAGGGAAATAGACATACTGTTGATGATATAAGTCCTGCATGATGTTAAGGACCTATGGTATATTCCTTATTCTGGGCAATGCAGGGTTTATATCATCAACAGTAGCATTCCATACAGGGATTTGTATGGCCGCTACTATGGCCTCATTTGTCGACCCTGTCCTGTGGGTGTATCAGACATTGACATGGTCCTTAGTAACTTGAACAGGGTCTTGGGGGATATGTAGTATGCTGAGACTATATATGTGCATATACATACACACACACATATATATATATATATAATACCAATAGTCTCCATTGTAGTTCCTTTTGTTGGTTTAGCCAAGTTTATATTAAGGATCCTATAAGGTAACCCCAAGAAGGAACTACAATGGAGACTATAGGTATAGTCTCAAAGGGGTAGGCAGTGCCTCAAGAATCCGGTATCCCGAATTCGAGGTTCAACGCGCAGCAGCACCCAGGTTCTTGATCTGTGGATTCTTTTCCGGTTTCGGGTTTAGGGTTTAGGGTTTAGGCTAGTTACTTCGCATCCACTGCAGCCCTGTGCATGGTGCAGGTTCTCAATGAGTCGCTTGGCGGCAGGTTGCGCTTTTGTCACCGCTGATAGCAAGAGCTGCCGATCCCTTCTGCTACGGCCTTCTGTTCCCGTACTTACACCAAGACGCGCTGCAGAGACGAATATAACAGAATATAACATGAGACAATAGAAACGGATGTATGGAGTAATACGCTGTCTGTAATTGTTTGTATACACACACAAACATACATACATACATGCAGGCATGCTGCATGCATACAGAGATGTAGGACACTCATCGCTTGTCAACCTGAGGTTGAGAGTAGGACACGTTTCTGACGAAGCGCGGACATTGCTGGCAAAGTGTCACGCCGCTGGACTCAGTAATGAGCACTGCCTGCTCAAATCAGGACTCCTTGTGGTGGTTAGCAACGTGTCGGGTATTATGTTTTGCAATTGTACACTGAAGTTTCTGCTTTCTGTTTGTTCTTGGCCAGGGTCTACATAAGTTTCAAGGGCTCTTTTAAAGGGATCTACAAGAGTTCAGGGTTCCTTTAAAGGGATCTATAAGAGTTTAGGGTTCCTTTAAAGGGATCTATAAGGGTTTGTAGGGTTTAGGGCCTTACGGGGGTTGACAGTTCGGCCTTGAGAGTGCATTGTTCCCAGAGACTCCAATATTCCCGAATTAATCATAGAGGGTTTGGGGGGGGACCCCACAAGGGGGACCCCAAATTGAAAACAACATTAAGCTTCAATAGCAAAGCCGAAAAGTGAAGACGCTCCATGAAATATGCACACCTTTCCTTAAAGAGCCGTTTTGAAGCCTTCAATTTGCTTCAATAAGCCTTTTTAGCGCTTAAAAAGTTGCTGTTGAAGCCTATTGAAGCTTATTGGTGGTCTTGGTTTCAGGAAAACCGAAATATTATTGAAGCGGCGAAGCGGTATCTTAAAGAGTGCCTATTAAAGCTTATTGGGGGTCTTGGTTTCAGGAAAACCGAAATACTATTGAAGCGGCGAAGCGGTATCTTAAAGAGTGCCTATTAAAGCTTATTGGGGGTCTTGGTTTCAGGAAAACCGAAATACTATTGAAGCGGCACAGCGGTATTTTACAGAGTGCCTATTGAAGCCTATTGAGCGTCGTGCGTTGTGCCTATTGAAGCTTAGTGAGCGCTGTTCTTCAAGGCGGCACTCATGTTAATGAAGCTGCACAAGCCCATGGGAAAGAGCACCTGTTTAGGCCCTATTCCCTATGTAAACAACACCAGCATCCAAGAATCCCGATCCCATCATCACAAGCTGCCAACACTCTCCTGAAACCAAGACCCCCAGCACAAATCCCTAGCCTCACTCCGAGACAAGGCGACAGCATTAGGGGCATAGGCAAATGAGGCATTGATGCTTGTGTCCTCAGGTGTCAATCAAGGGGTTCAATCTTTTGGGTGGTTTGGAAGGTCAGAAGCACAAACCCTTCAAGTTTCAGGGTCGAAGCGTTTTTTTTGCACTCACGGAGCCATGGAGTCAACGTAACGCTGTAGCACCTCGTCTGTAGGGCGCACAGCTTGATTGTCTGGGTTGTCGTGATTGTAGGCTGCATAGAGCCACCTGATCACGTCCTGTAAAGCAGACAGCTCTGAGTGACAGCTCATGGTGGGCCATTTCCGCGAACAAGTGTTCGGTGGCAAGCCTGGGCAGCTACTGGCAATTTTGGCAGGACTGACTGTTTGCACTCGTTCGGGCTAGCCTGTGCCAATACAGTTCGGGGCATGCAGTGGAGCACATGGGTGGGTGTGCAGGAATGAGGTGCAGGCTGGCAGCAGAAAGGATACTTGGCTCGATAGCCGTAATTCTTCGGATCCCGGAATAAGCCAATCTCCGCAGAAATGCCAATGCCTTGATTCGGCAGCAATGTGCGCAGAGTAGGCGGTGTGACACCAACGCGCCGTTCCACCACGGCCTGTTGTTGAAGGGCTTTGGCTGGTTTTTTTAATTGTGGAGCATCTTACTAGGGCTAGGGGCTTAGGGGTTGAAGGTGTAGGGCTCAGGGCATTGGCTTGTAATTAGGGTTATAGGTTTAGGCGCTTATTAATTTGGGGTTTCGGGGCTCAGGGTTGGGTTGTAGAGTGGAAGATTACGGAGTAAGGGTTTAGGGTTTCGGGGTTTAGGAGTTGGAGTCCAGGTCAAGGGTGATGTCACAGTGGGTGCTGCTGAGGGGCGGCACGCTGCCCTCCACGTCGCGGTGCCTATACATAGCTAGGTGGGTTGCACGTTCTGCGGGGGGCCACTGCAGTTCTGAAAGTCTCACAGCTAGCAATAAAATTATTGATTCAACTTGAGGACCTCTGATTGCTGAAGCTAATTGAGGCTTATTGAGGCTTGTTGAGTTGCTGAGCGGGTTGGAAGCTTACTGATATTTGGCACACACGTTGAGGATGCTGTGTGCTGCTTGGGGACATCATCCTCGGCTGGCCCGGCTGGCGCTGCTTCTGGACGAGCCTCAGCTATGGTGACCGACAGCAGATTGTTGAAGCTTGCTGAGGCTTACTTGTTGAAGTATTGAGAGCTGTTTACCGGCTGCAAAACGAAGGTTTGGCTGAGCGTTTACTTGTGGGGCATCCCATAGAGCCTGTTTAGGGGGCCCAAACGCCCCCTAAACCCCAAAACTTCATGCTCCTTTTGTTGTGCCAAACAAAGCCCGAAACTAAAGAGCAAAAGGGCACTACCGTTAAGGCTGGGGGCCTGGGGGTTTAAGGTGAAGGGCTTCGGGAATTAGCCTGTAGAGTTAGGGTCGCTGAGGCCTATTGAGGCTTATTGAGTTGTTGGGGGTGTGGAAGCTTACACCTATCGTTTTCCATAGTTGATGTTTCGCTCACACGTCGAGGATGCTGGGTGCTGCTTGGGGACATCACCCTCGGCTCCGGCTGCTGGCCCGGCTGGCGCTGCTTCTGGAGGAGCCTCAGCTATGGTGACCGGCAGCAGATTGTCGAACTATTGCGAAAACCGGAGCGCAAGGTTCAGCGTGCATTTTTTTCGAGCATGACTTCCGGTCGGTTCGGCTGCTGCTACTGTCGCTTGCTCAGACCGCCTCCATAGGCTCAGCTGCATCCTCGGGCAGCATCCTCATCAGCATGCTCATCGACATACTGCGTGTCATTGGCATGCAGACCATCGGCGGCCAACACGGAGGCTTCAACGGAGGCCTCCTGAACCTCAATAGAGGGCAAAAACCCTTATTGAAGCCTATTGGGATCTAGGAAACTCTATGATACACAGTTATGGAGCCCAAAAACACCCCTATCAGATACTATCCTATATGATATTAATATCCAAGGCGCCATAGACTCAGCTGCAGCCTCGGACTTGTCCTCATCAGCATGCTCATCAGCATTCTGCGTGTCATTGGCATAAAGACCATCGGCGGCCAACACGGAGGCTTCAACGGAGGCCTCCTGAACCTCAATAGAGGGCAAAAACCCTTATTGAAGCCTATTGGGATCTAGGAAACTCTATGATACACAGTTATGGAGCCCATATACCCCCCTATCAGATACTATCCTATATGATATTAATATCCAAGGTGCCATAGACTCAGCTGCAGCCTCGGCCTTGTCCCCATCAGCATGCTCATCAGCATACTGCGTGTCATCGGCATACAGACCATCGGAGGAGAACGGGGAGGCTTCAACGGAGGCATTCTGAACCTCAATAGAGCGCAAAAACCCTTATTGAAGCCTATTGGGATCTAGGAAACTGTATGAAACACTGTTATGGAGCCCATATACCCCCCTATCAGATACTATCCTATATGATATCAATATCCAAGGTGCCATAGACTCAGCTGCAGCCTCGGCTTTGTCCTCATCAGCATGCTCATCAGCATACTGCGTGTCATCGACATACAGACCATCGGCGGCCAACGGGGAGGCTTCAACGGAGGCGTTCTGAACCTCAATAGAGCGCAAAAACCTTTATTGAAGCCTATTGGTGCTTAGTTTGGGGCTCGCTAGCCTGAGGCTTGTACTACCCTATATAAGATTAATATCCAAGGTGCCATAGACTCAGCTGCAGCCTCGGCCTTGTGCTCATCAGCATGCTGCGTCTCATTGGCATACAGACCATCGGCGGCCTTAGAAACCCAGCTGTACCCGTATACTATATTACACAGTTATGGAGCCTATACACCCCTAACCATGTACTATCCTATATAATATTGATATCCAAGGTGCCATAATAGACTCGGCTGCAGCCTCCTTGTTCTCATCAGCATGCTCATCAACATGCTCCAGGTCATTGGCATACAAATCATCGGAGGCCTTAGAAAACCAGCTGAACCCGTATAAAACTCACTATATTACACAGTTATGGAGCATACACACCCCACTATCATGTACTATCCTTTATGATATTAATATCCAAGGTGCCAAGGACTGCGCTGCATCCTCGGCATTGTCCTCATCAAGATGCTCCAGGTCATTGGCATACAGACCGTCGCCGGCCTTAGAAAACCGGCTGCACCCGTCTAAAAATCACTATATTACGCTCATAGGGTTCCCTAGACCCCCCCCAGAAACCCCGCCGCAAAGGCAAGCCCACTAGCGAAGCTCCATGAAGCATGACTCCATTAGGACTCGGGTTTCCAACCCCACACGAGATACCGCTCAATAGCCAAATTAACATTTCAGTTGCAACGAACTCCCTGAAACAGGCTGGCTTCAATAGCACTCTTTTGCAAACGGGGAGGCTTCAACGGAGGCCTTCTGAACCTCAATAGAGCGCAAAAACCCTTATTGAAGCCTATTGGGATCTAGGAAACTCTATGAAACACAGTTATGGAGCCCATATACACCCCTATCATATACTATCCTATATGATATTAATATCCAAAGTGCCATAGACCGAGCTGCAGCCTCGGCCTTGTCCTCATCAGCACGCTCATCAGCATGCTCCGGGTCACTGGCATACAGACCATCGGGGGCCTTAGAAAATCAAGACTGTGCCTGCTGTGCCCAGGATGTGCCAGCGCTGCTTGCGCAGGAGCTCGCCTCCCACCTAGCAAGTTCGCCGCCTCTTAGCAGCAGTCCAGTCAATCATGTCACACTCGTCCTGCCTGCCAAAACAAGTCAAACCAACAAGCAGGATTATGCTAGAGTTCATGAAATGCATGGCGTTTCCGATGCATGAGGATCCTCTTCGAGGATCCAGACTTGGCACGGGCTTAACACCCATGGCTGCTGAGCCCTCCCGGGACACTGGATATCCTAGTGCAGCAAGCTTTTCAGTGGTGGTCATCCATCTCCGACAGCTAGGAAACCAGTACTTTCCACCATTGCGACGGAAAGTGGGTATCTGCCCCGAAACGGCAGACCAGTTCCG